TTATTCCGGGAAGAACGCTCCCCGCTCTCAAAATCAGGTATGGCAATAACTTCGAGGAAGTAAGTCATTATTTGCCCACACGGTCTTACTGCTGATCCGATACCCCTTCATCAGTCTCCTACTAATGGCGCCTGGAATGACATAAACCGAAAATTGGTTGAACCCAGAGATGTAATATCCTGGGCAGTGATGGTCTTTGACCGGGAAGCAAGTCCCAATGAGATAGAAAGCTTTGTCTTAGACCTCCATAGAGCATATATGGCATTAGGTGCGTGACCACATCAATTCATTTTGCTGTACTGACAGTGATGCTTACAGGAATTAGTGAGTGATGCTGAAACATACAAGTTATTTTAATTCAACCGTGGTTCATCAGGATTTCCATCATCCAAGCCGCCGTTTATCCAGGCCAGGCCGCAGAGTTACCCCTAGAGAAAGTGAGTTTGCCGTCTGATGATCTACATGAAATATACTTCCTTATCAACTTATATTATAATACGACGTAGCAACTTGAAAATGCCTATCGTCTTGCTGGGGAGACATATACGGAGAAAGCCACGTTTATTTTGGTCATATTGCCGGATTTCTCCCCAGAAGTCATCACCGCTGTAAAGTACTGGAGGGACTGTCGGCAGGGTTGTCCGACTCAATGTGTCGTATGTGTTGATACATATTTTCTTTCCAGATGTTTACTGTGGATAAATCTTTCATAGAAGCGTGGTGAGATACGAAGGGCAAACAACCCAAACAACCAATACTGTAACAATGTGGCTCTTAAGTTAATTTTCCTAATTATATTGTGCTAGTTTCTAGAATCTAACCTATGGTCTTCAGAAACAATGCCCGCATCGGAGGCGTCAATTGGTATCCCAGTGAATCCCTCCAGGCCATGAAGTATTTGAAAGAGTCACCGACTATGGTAGTAGGTCAGAAATTCCACAAACAGTTTCTACTCAATATTGATATCCAGCAATAGGGGCAGACGTCAGCCATGCAGGACCTGATTCAGACAGGCCGTCTGTAGCAGGATTGGTTTCTTCAGTCGATGCAAATATGTGTCGATACGTAGGATCAACATCGGTTCAAGAGAGTAGAGTCGAGGGGATCATCGGACTGGGTGACATGATGGCAGTAAGTCTGTCTATAATAACATTTTGACATTCTCCGTCTCCTGATTTAGACCACCAACACGCGATATCGATGTTCAATAGATCCCACCAAAACGTCTTTAAGCAAAGTGTCAATCCTCAGCGCATAATATTTTATCGGTGATTACGACGAAACATCATGTTTGTATCTTTCGTCTACTGAAACTGCACCTTTCTCACAGTGACGGTCTTTCAGAGGGCCAGTTTGAAGTGGTGGCGCGTGAAGAAATCAAGATTATAAAAAGTAATTAGTCGTCTGTTCAATGCGATGTGGCTTTGACTGTAATATACAGAGGTCTTCCAGAAGACGAAAATCGATGCCGAGTTCGTTTATATCGTTGTTGGCAAGAGGCATCATATTCGATTTTTCCCTCCGAGTGGTACTGGTGATAAGAGCGGGAACTGCGAATCGTCGTTGATCAAGTTGTCGTGCATCCTATCGAATATGATTTCTACCCGAAATCGCATGCAGGTATCCTTGGAAGCATGTTCCACTGTTTTCCAGACGCTTCACTTTGAGATCGTACTTAACCTTTGTATAGCGAGTCGTTCTGTGCATTACTCTGTGATAGCAGATGAATTGAATTTGCCCGCTGATGGCCTTCAAGCAATAACATTTGTACCCTGTCATGTATGCCACATCGTCCTATGAAGATCCCGGTTAACATGTATTCCATAGCATTTACGGACGCGCGACGCGGTCGGTCTCCATTCCAGCTCCAGTATATTGTGAGTTCAATTAGCCATCTAGCATGCGAATAACATACATTTTCATTTTAACTTCAAATCCATTAGATGCGGATGTGAGTTCGTTTGACTTCCTATTTATCGGTGACCCTTCATACTCGCCTTTCAGCTTGTTTGTGGACGGGGTACATACCATTCTCTGTTGCTCCGCGGCGGTGAGCACGAGATCACCGCTTTCGCGGGTGAACAGCCTACGCTCGAAGATCACAGAATGGTTAGAGAGTTAAAGCGCCATAAAATTATTGTATTTGACCCTTGTCATGCTTCAGGCTTTCCGCAAGATCCATCCCAAGATGGAGATGACAATGTACTGGATATAAACCCCTTCGTTGGCGTTCGGGAAGAAGCCTCTAGCAACACAGCGTCGCGTGCGAGGCGCCGTCCGTCCCGCTATACCTATTGACGCTGTGGTACCGAACAAAGTCCCATTCCTCCCCGCGAGACATTCGGCCCGAAGTAAGGCAATCGAGGGCAACAAGTGAAGCTGTAGGTGCAAGATGAAATGCTTCTTGGTATTGTGTGTATGAGGCGTTTCGGAAACAGGTGACGGGATTGACGAGCAGGAGAACAGATTCACGTTATTCGTCAATCTGTTGGATGGTGGATGAGGCGGGTGACGGGTCTTGTGGGAGTGTGCCACTGTTCGTTAACCTGTAGTTATATTCTGTGCGTGTTCTGAAGATCTTGGCGGATCCCTGGTCAAAAAATTGGTTAAACAACCAACATCGCAAATCTGCGTGTCAGGAAAACTAACCTGGGTGAGTAGCATAAGAGCCGGCCCGTCACCAGCATCTGCTTCTAGATCGATTTTATCTCCTGGTACAAGGCCGCCTCCACAGGATAAGACATAGGCAACTGATGCAGGATGACTTCCGCTTGACTGTAGGCGGGGCGAAAACAACTTCAGCGGATATGCGTATGATACTTCTGAGAACGCTGATTGCTTGCCATATGGGCGTACGATGACTTTGTCTTTGCCAGATGAACGTGGCACAGTTTCAGCCATGAATGTCGTCTACGCAGCAGTCGGTCATTTACGCAGGTCAGAGGGACTGTAAGAGTCTTACGCTCTACCAGTTGAGCTAGCAAGGCATGATTCATGGGATCCACATCGTAATACACACTGAACCACGACACCACCGTTGTAACGTTCTGCATTTGAGTCTGCTATTTTTTCCCACATTCCAGACATTCGTCATACTACACCTTACTTTTGTTGTACTAGCCTTTACAGTGACAAAAGGATAAATTCGTAAGGCTAAGTCAGTATATTTTGGGAGGCGAGCTTTCAATATCTATATAGTTCTGCATATTTATGTTTGGTACTTAATGACTAGTTCCATAATGGTTAAAAATATTTCACACCCTCGGAAACAGAGATATATACCTGGTTCAATAGGAACTCTTAGTAGGAAGGAGCCCGTGATTTAACGGGATAAAAATATTACCCCGCGCGGGAATCGAACCCGCACCTTGAGACTCTTACCCGGTCAGAGGGACTGTAAGAGTCTCACGCTCTACCATTGAGCTAGCGAGGCATGATGGGACTACGAAAGTATTGAAACTCAACTTGATTGTTAGGTCCTGAGTAAGAAACTTAAAATTATTACTAGAATAGGTGCAGCCTTTTAAAACTGTAAGGCCTGTTGGAAATCTACAATCTGAACAGTCCTCGTGATACCATTATTTCGATCGTTTTAGTTGCTAAGAGTCAACGATATTATAGTAATTTTAGTTCCCTTCCGCGTTCGGACACTACTCTCCGAGTTATATACCTAATAACGTCGTTTCTCGTCTCTGAGTTGCACCCGAAACGTGCCGTCGAAGTCAACTCGAATGCTGTCTTTGATACCACCACTAACACATGTAATACTTCAGTCTTTTCAATTCATCGCCATATATCTTTACTGAATTTCATATTCTTCCCCTTGTATCCACCACAGGTATGTACTGTTTTATCAGCGAGTCACTCGCGGAAACGTGGAGTATATACCTCAGGAGATAAAATCGATCTAAAAGCAGATGTTGGTGACGGGGCGGTTCTTATGCTACTCACCCAGGTTAGTTTTCCTGACACGCAGATTTGCGATGTTGGTTGTTTAACCAATTTTTTGACCAGGGATCCACCAAGATCTTCAGAACACGCACAAAATATAACTACAGGTTAGCGAACAGTGGCACACTACCACAAGACCTGTCATCCATCTCATTCACTAAAACTTGAAAAACCTCCACTACTCGGCAGGGTTTTGTCGAAACAAGAGGAATAATGACTACGGGAAAAATCTTGTAGCTAATTGCATCCGGTATACCCCCTGCCATTGCTAAACCGTCTTTGTACTCCACTGGGATCTTATATATTTACGCCTCTCCGAGCAGGAGCAGTCCCACAATATTAATGTCAATCTGCAATCATTTATGCTATTGTGGATATGGACCTTATTTAAAAGAATGATTTACTATTAACCATTTGCTTTCCACCGTTCTGTACAAGGTCCCCTCCACAGGATAAGACATGCAACTGACGCAGAATGACTTCCGCTTGACTGTAGGCGGGGCGAAAGCAACTTCAGCGGATATGCGTATGATAATTCTGAGAACGCTGATTGTTTTCCATATGGGGGTACGACGACTTTGCCTTTGCCAGATGGACGTGGCACAGTTTCAGCCATGAATTTCGTCTACGCAGCAGTCGGTCATTTACGCAGGTCAGAGGGACTGTAAGAGTCTTACGCTCTATCAGTTGAGCTAGCAAGGCATGATTCATGGGATCCACATCGTAATACATACTGAACAACGACACCACCGTTGTAACGTTCTGCATTTGAATCTGCTATTTTTTCCCCCATTCCAGACTTATTTGGCATCCTGCACCTTACTTTTGTTGTACTAGTATTCACAGTGACAAAAGGATAAATTGATAAGGCTAAGTCAATATATCTTGGGATGCGAACTTTGAACTTCTATATAGTTCTGTATATGGATAGTTGGTACTTAATGGCTATTTCCAAAATGGTTAAAAATATTCCACGCGGGCGGAAAAAGCTGGTTCAATAGGAACTCTTGGTGGGAAGGAGCCCGTAATTTAACAAAATATAAAAGTATAACCTCACACAGGGATCGAACCCGTAACCTTAAGACTCTTACCCGGTCAGAGGGACTGTAAGAGTCTTACACTCTACCGATTGAGCTAGCAAGGCACGATAGAATCATGTAAAACTATTGAAATTCAACTTGATTGTTAGGTCCTTAGCAAGAAACTTATATAATTATTACTAGAATAGGTGTAGCTTTCTTACCAGTGCCATTCATGTAACCCCCATATAACTACTCATCTGTTTGCCTCCAACGAGACAGAGATCAAGCGGAATTTATATTGTATTTCTCTTAGTATGATGCTGAGCTTGTAAATTTGATTTCAACACTACAAACTTAGGGATCATTTAAATTCCTTACAATCACACAGGCTCAATTACCTGCAATTTCGTACCTCCAGTAGACGGCAACATGACGTATTTCTCCAGCAACTTGAACTTGAATGATAGGCAGCCCACCAAGGAGCACTAGCGTTCTAGTCGAGGCGTCTTACAAGATTTCCTCCAGTAAGTACTATTGAGAGTGGATTAGAGAATAACATCAAAGGCAATCCCCTATATCTGATAGCCTGATATGCTTACGGCTGATAAACGCGGCTGCTACTAGCTCTGCTGCAGCTTTATATCATACCAGCCCTAAATGGAAAGCACGACTTATTAATGAAAAAGATCGTACAGCACTTAAATTGAAGTAAGGATAAAAGTAGTGCTCGAATCTGTGCGAGCCACATCACCCCACCCACGACATTGACCGCCAAACAGCTCGATCGAAGTTGCGAACAAGAAATCTACCGCCCAAGCTCAGTACTAGATACCCAACACGGGCTTGCCACAGAAATAAACCAGATCAAATTCGGACAAGGACGTGGATAGGAGCATATATACATATATAAGTACTACGACGAGGCGAATGGCCCACAGCTGTACCTTTCTTTAGTCATAAAGGACGATGAATAAATTTGGACGAATAATGATGGCACTCTTGTACGAAGACCTCTCAGAACCCTGTACCCGAGTCAGTACTCTTTGTCACCGAGAAGACGTTGAAGCTCTGCGCTTGATTTCCACTTAGGCTGTTCGAGGTGGTGACAAACTTCTTTAAATCAGAAGTCCGTTGGAGAGTATATCCTTGTCCGTTTCCCAGATCGGTAATATTGAAGACGGCAGCATCGTTAATACTAGCAGTCTCTTTGTCGTCTTTGCCAACGAAACCGCGTGTGGGACTGCCAGCAAATTGTAGGTTGAATGTGGTCGCAGGAGGTGGGGCGGTGGCGTGGATAATAAAACGTTGTTCGTCAGAGTCATGAGCAGGTACGGCTTTGGACGTTCCAAATGCTTTATTGGTAGGTTCAAAAGAGAGTGCAAGGCCGTTAGACTCAAACACCAGGAATCTCCCTTCTGTAAGGGCTCCACGAACACTCTGAATGCGCCATTCAGTTAAGAGAAATACAAGCAATAAGGCGAGGCTACCTTGAAGCCATTTTCTATTTGCAACGAAGTTTCGCGAGTTTGTTGGCCGAATGGAACGACCGGCTGTGGGTTGGGGAATGCAGCTTGGCATGTGGGGACACCTATTATATGTTATACAGCATTGAGGATCAGGGGGAGAAATGTGTGAGAGATAATGGAAAAACTTGCCGATGAACTGTCCTTGCGAGTTTGTTAAGGGTGGGGTTGGAACTGGAAGGTCAGGAATGGAAGGATCGGGCTAATTATAATTGAGTGGAAGGCATGAAACTAAAAAAGAAAGGAAGTTCACATACATGCGCGAAGTCGAACATCTGAGTAAGGTCGGATATATGGTCGCGACGCCATTGGTTTAGCTGATCTGTGACGACTGGTTTTCCCATCTTGGCGGTCAACCATTTTTCCTGTGTTACATCAGAATTTTATTGAATAAATTAGCACGGGATATAAGTCACGTCAAATCATACCAAGAACAGAATTTGAGAACTATGGTCGCTATGAGCAGTGAAAACGTGTCCACCCCTGGTCCAAGGGCTGATTGCTGTGAAGGGAAGACGGAACCCTGGTCCTGCAAATAGAGTCTGCGAGGTGTTGAACGGATTCTGATATAATTGAAAAAAATCAGCTGCTAGTTATCCATGCCTGACATCCGAAACATTTACCGTCATCCATTCTCCAGGGGTTCCCTCCGGAGCAAAGATGGGAAGGACGCTAGATCCACGTTAGCTGAACAAGAATCAGCGGGTCCGAAAAAACGCTTACTGGTCTCCCCAACCACCCTGGGAAATTGTAATATTTCAAATCAAGGGTTTGGATGCATAAACTAATCACGTACGGTTTCGTCGTATGAGATGAGCAATACAGTCGAGCTATATTTGGGGCTATTGATAACGGAGTTCACGATCTGTTGCTGGAACCATGCACCGTCGTTGGGAAGGAAAGGGGGATGCTCCGAAAGCTCCGCGGGCCCAATGACGTAGCTTACTTGGGGCAGGGTCCCCGCTGCAGCAGCATCTGCGAATGCTTGCAGCCCCAAGAAGGAAACACCTCTGTTGGCAAGACTGCTATTGGCAGGAGCGGTCCTGAACTGGTCAAACCACGCGAATCTAAAGAAGGTTAGTCTACTGCAACCCTGCTTAATAGGGACATCAACTCACGGATTGTCGTCGAAATTGTCAACCCCTATATTTACAGATAAAAAGTAAGTAAAAGCGTTTCTGGCCCTTCACTGAGATTTACCTTGATACTACGAAGATCTTGACGTAAAGCTTAAGCGCATTAGGATGAAGCTAAATAACTTACAACCTGCCAGGTTACACCAGCATCCTCCATAAAATCGGCGTATGTCTTCCACTTGTAAGGGAAGCAGTCTAGGTTGGGAGCCTCACAGCCAGGCGTAACATTGTTATCAATAACAACACCTCCTTGGCTGAGGTTTTGAGGGCCACCAGGAACGTTAACGGATCCGCTAGCCCAGAATGCTGCAGAAGCCAGAAATCAGCCCCGTAACAGCGAATTGGTTATATGCAATATTACTGACCTCGGTTGGGGTGAGTGCTGGCCACCACGCCTTCAGCGTACATGTCACCAACGGTCCACCCGTCAGCTAGGGCAAAGTGCGTTGGAACGTCTTGGCGCAAATAATGACCCCATGAAAATGCGGTGTTCTTCACAACCCATTGATTGTTGTCGCCTTGGGCGAAAGCATTGTGGTTAGCAGTGAAGCCTTGCAGAAAAACAGTCAGCAGCGTCGTCAATTAACGCGAATGCGGTAGAGTCGTTTACCGTTTGATCCAGCCGTCATACACTGTGTTGCTTGGGTGGTATTTCCCCCCGCAGCGTTGATATAGAATGGCAGGAGGTCCGTAGTGGCGTTAGTTTTCTTGGGGTCGACAGGCCTAAGTTGAAGTGAAAGCGAAAGTCAAGATAAATTAGTGCAATACTAGCGTAGCAACTAACTGGAACCAGATCGGCTTCCCATTCTGAGCAATGTGGACATTGGGGTCAGCAAATCCACGGACGCCGGCCATCGATCCGAAATACTGAGGACCAAGGAGTTAGAAAGTACTAATGGTGAGCCAGTAAAATAAAATAAAATAGTTACATGGTCAAAAGCTCTGTTTTCCTGCATGAAAAGTACAACTGGGAAGAATTCAGTAAAATAATTTACAGCCACCAAAGGGGAGAACGCACCATGATCAATATCTGTGATCGTTCCCGTGCTGGCTTTGACAAGCGTCAAAGGCAAACACAGAGCCAAAGCTTTCAGTAGTTTCAAATATGAGGAGGAGTACATAGTAGATATTTTTCAAGCCTCACGATTTTTATGTAGATGCCACGCTCCTTTTAAAACACCACAAAATTAATTTTGAACCAGGTGTCATGTGGGGCTCCAGGGAATATTTTGGTCAGAAGAAATATAGGAAGTATCAATAACTGATATTGACTTTCCTCTCCATGTCAGACTACAGGAACAGGAAGCTATTGGACCACCCGACGCTTGAAAGACTGTTCACATCGTCCTGGGACACGTGCGTTACGACATGTTCCCAAAGTTGACAAACGATCAGAAGATACCTTACGCGCCAGCGTCCTAGCAATTTGTCCAGAAATACTTCAAGTACATGTGCACGTTGACAATCGCGCGGTCATTAGAGTGGGTCGCGGCGACGTACCTCGGGAAGACACGTCCCGAGATTCGAACTCGGCTTCATACCCATCAAAATGTCTCTTGCTTGTACACTGAAGACACTGGTAGTCGCCTGCATAGTTTTCCTTTCTGCTGTATGGCTGTTGGTACGGCAAGGGGATATATCTATCTCAAGATTGCCATGGACAGCGTTGACTGTGGATGTGCCATTCGATGCGCGCTTGCACCCTGAGAAGCACGCCGCAAGAGATCCAACGACAATTGAACTTGACTGGGTCATTCGACAAGAGTTACGCTCGCCCGATGGGGTTCAGAAGCCCATTTACACTGTGAATGGTGAGGATTGTTGGCTGTTTTTCGGGGATAGTGACGTGATGAAAACGCAGGATTGTTTCCTGGTCCGACCATTGAGGCACGACCCGGGGACCGTATACTCTTAAGGGTACATAATAAATTGGCTACAGAAACGACAGCTATCCACTTCCATGGCATACGGCATTTGGGGTCTAATTCGATGGATGGAACGCCTGGCCTGACCCAGGTACAACACCCCGATCCAGTTTATTTTTAGAAAACATATTTCTTACCGTTGAGAATTAAACAGTGCGCGATTCAACCCAAACATTCTTTTCTCTACAACTTCACGATCACTACGGAACAATCGGGAACATTCTGGTATGATTCTTTCCCAGAATATTGACGGAAATCACTTGAAAATGTATCCCTTTGTACAGGTGGCATTCTCATTCGACTACTCAACGCGCTGACGGTCTATATGGTGGTTTAGTCATTCACGATACTGTCTCAAAACAGCCCGATATCGGATATGTTAAAGAAGAGCTTCGGATCCGCCAAAAAGATGCATTGTTTTCTGAGCGGATCCTTTTGATCGGTGATTGGTACCATCGAAACGCTACTGAAATGCTAGCGTGGTATAGGAGTAAAAAAAGCAACGGTTGGGTATGCTTATTTGACTATATCTCGTAGA